AAAGTCGGTGAGCTGAAATTTTTTTTTTTAATTCGGGGAAAATAGAATTTTGATTTGCTAATTTCAAAAATGGATTTGATATTTTTTGCCAATTATTTGGTCATTCTGGTTCCTTGTTCTGGAACGATCGGAAAAGTCGGTTGGTAACCTGAACTTGGCCCACCTAAATAAAAAAAAATGTGTAAATTCTGCAGAGATGATTTGCTAATTTCTGGAGTAAATTTGCTAAAATTTGCTAATTATTTGCCAAATATTGGTATAGGATTGTTACGAATCGTGTAAAGACGGTGTGCCAAGTTCGCGGACGTCGAGCGAGCCCCTACCGTGTCTGACCAGTTGAAGGAACCTGTCATTATGAGTTATATTTCATTGTTGAACATTAGATAAACGATATAATTTTTATCGACCCATAATGTGTAAAACTGTTGGTTGTAAATCGTATATTTATAAATGCATAAAATATATGCGTGTAACTAAATAAACAGAACAATCACATTCTTTAATTATTGCACATGGGTGCAACATTATTATTCGGTACAATCGATGGACGTTGGTCTTATTTTATGGTATTATTGTTGTCACGGTATTATCAGCTATGCATCATGCGATACCAAACCCTCAAGACGGTAATGTCCAATGTAGTGACCTCGATGTCCAGCGACGCGCTCTCCGGCGGCACCAGGTCGCGCGGAATCTTGTCTGTATAATGACGTATATAATAATCTATGGTAAACAATGATAATATTGTTCACGGGCGTCATCAGACATTAAATGAATAAAAAATGTAAAAAAATAGATTATCAAGAGTTGTTTTGATGACGATTCATCGCAATACAATACATTATCTATACCACAATATCTATATACAATATACATATATTGCTTATATCATAACTATAACACCACTCACCAGACCACGGAAAAAAGATGAGACTGTACCAAACTCCATAAAAATGTCTATAGTTATATCTAAATGCTACTGCTATGCTTGACCATTTTTAAATTGGCTCGTACTGAAAATGATTCCTATATTCGCTACTGGCTATCCTATTCTAGGCGGTAGCCTGCAGCTACTGTATTGTATTTTTTAGACTTAACACCGTCAGCGGTAGCTCATTTTAAGGTTAAAAATGTATTAAATTGGTAAGTTTTAAAGATATTTTTTTATCAACTTCTACCTGATCCATTAAAAAATCGAAAATAATAAATATTGATTGTAAAAAAGTATCTGTACAATAAGAAAGAGTATTTTCCAAAGCAGATCAAATAGTCAATGCAAAACGAAATAGATCACAAGTGTAAATTATAATTAAATGATACATTTTAAGACAATATTATTCATGTTTAAAATTAAAAATATTGAAATTTATTCCTCCAGTTAATTATAAATTAAAATTATAAAATAAAATTAAAAAAAAGATTATTCGATGAACTATTTGAATATATTGTGGTTTATTCGAATACTTAAGTTATTAATGAATGTCAAATAGTTCAAATGGTGGGTTACTATCGAATAGTTCGATAGTGAGTATTCGATAGTCCCCGGCTTCGATAATAAATAATATGGTTGGGAAATGGGCCTCTACAACAGGCTCAAAATTCCAGGGGTGGGAGAGAAAGAATTGACATTAATGCGCAGTAAAATAGTGTTTCAGTCAGTCAGTATAAACGTCGCTTGTGGATTAGTCACGTAGGCCAGTTCGCCGCCACCGGTTAATGTAGTGCTGTAAGCAATCTTTTTCACTTTTCACTTTTCACTACCACCGACGTCCGCATCTGATACACACGCACACAGATACTGTCTACACATATATTATATAACTGGGTTACTGCACTACCGTTCTCAATAGACGATTTTCCGGAGACGACCGCGATTTTATTCTCGAAGTATCTAAGTCTCTATATCTCACCTTTGTCACCTGTACAATTTAATATCTACGACTACTACAACAATGAGTAAAACGGTCAACCAAAAGCCAAAACATCGATCCGGTGGTCATCCACATCACTTATTCAAGATACCTGCGGGCTACGCAACCTGCACTCACGAGTCGGTGGACGAGGAAGAGAGGCAGACGATGACGACTGACGTAGAACCGTCGGACGACAACGCCACCAGAAGCACATTCAACAAGTTCATGTCGATGTTCAGAAAACCGATGGCCTACAAGTGAGCATTATAATATTATAATTTAATAATAATTAATCATAAAATAAGCTGTAGTATTAGTCGGCATTGGACGAGGGTATAAATGAAATCGAGATGAGAGCAAACCACCTGTGGCGGATAGTAATAGGGCTGAGATTTGATTCGTTGATTTTCTTTCGCAGCGTTCTATAACGTAAATAGAAAACTTGTTTAGGATGATTCTGATTATCTTAATGTAGTTAAAATGTTTGCATTTTTTGAAAAAAGTAGCGGTTACTGCACTGTTTTGGTGCTTTCAGGATATTTCTCAAGTTTTTACAGTACTTTTCACAATTTATTTATGCAGTGAACGAAAATGGTTATACCAAATTTAAATATTTATACCTATAATACTGTCATATCGTTCAAGCCTTGCGGCGATTAACCCGAGATTTTCGGTAGATCATCGATGGTACAAATATTATAATAAAGCGCTTGTGTAGAGACTCTTTATCTCTATATTATTATACTTTAAGGCCCCCTAATTATTAAGGAGCACATTATTGGCAACCTAATTCACACATCGTTTGGGCGTTGCACGGTCTTGTGAGTATGTAGTAGTGTAAATATTTATTAGTGAGACTGAATTCGTGAGCGGCGATGTATTAACAGCGCACACTTATCTGTCAGGTACATATCATAAAATTAACAAATAACGAAATATTTTGTTGTCTATTTTGGCAGACAAAAATGACTTCTCGTCGACAACTGAATATTTTTAAATAATTTCTTTTTAACACTGATAAACAACATTTTACAGCCCGCATTGAACTCAGTTTTTTTATTTGATTTTAATTAATGGTATAAAATAGTTTGTAAAAAAAGCTGAAAATGTTCTTATTTTTAAAGATTTATTATTAAGTTTGTGATTAAAATATTGAAAAACGAAGTTCGATGCGTAGAATATTTTCCTCTATCAATTAAAAAAATAAAATAAAATTTAGCTGATTCTACTGGGCAGGATTATTATTCCCACAAACTGGGTTTTAAGGACAAAATCACATTAGCAACGGGCACCTCAATAGTAGTAAGATATTTATACAGCGCGATTATAATGATATCATAACTAGGCCTAGGGTGCGTGGAGGTAAAAAAAATAGGTAAAAATGTAATCTTACGATGGTTGAATTTCCCCACTCCTATGTTTTTATTGTGGTTGCCCAAACATTCTTATATTTATATTAACGTAATAATGTTATAATTTATAGTTTTTACATTTTAGACAGTTATGGTATAATAATATATTAAACATAAAAAATTGTTTTTCATTTTTTAATTATTCTTGTCCGGGCCTTTGCCTAGAAAAATTTCTGCGGGCGAATATGGTCATGTATAATTTCCGCTCAGATTATCGGCGATTATACGGACGGTCGATAACGATTGAAGTCCTTTATTTGTGGCGGCGTAGCATATTAGCATATCAGCCCTTCCCAGCATTCCATGTGTTTCTGTTTCATAATTTATACTTTAAAGCTTTAATTAATTTCAAATATATACGTGTATTTTAATCATGTTTCTAACAATATTAATGACATTTGGTTCTAAACAAAGAAATATTTTTACAAAACACGAATAATATTAATATATTATATAATAACGTGTTTGAAAATAAATGCACCGTGGATCATCGCGGTATTCCGAGAAAAACTATAAAAAGTATAGGACGATACTATAACTTATAAGTATAGAAACAATATAACGCATCTAGTTTTACAGTTAATACTGCTCAGTATTACAATAGTATGGAAATTATTGCATAGGAATAATAATCAATAATACCCATCATTTGGTCAGAAAATAATTTTATCATTCATGGTCCATAACTTTTCTTGAAAATATCACTAGAAGAGTAAGACTAGACTCGAAGACAATGACCTCTAAAGTTCAGAGACCGAACAATATTTCAACTTTAAATTATAATTTGTATCAGTAAATTGTTTTCTAATAATTGATGTCTCATAACAACCATAATATATTACTTTGAAAAAAAACTATTAGGTACAATTATATAATCTATACAACGAGGTAAAAACTATAATGTTACAGCTGATAATAGCAGAGTTTAAATGTAATGATTATGTCATTATAAAATACACTTCTCGTACCTTATGTTGAATAATTAATATTAAACTTTAAAATACCCACTATAATATTAAATAATTGTATTTGTTCAATAATTTTAAACAAAAGTATTTTTTTTGTAAACAATTCTTCTAGAATATATTCTATGGTCATTAATCATTATCAAAAAATATATTATGAAAATTAAATAATATCGATAGCAAATAAACAGGTAGATATCTAAATAATACCCGTAAATAAAACTTGTACGCAAGTCGTCCTGCGTTGAATATTTCTTGCGTATTTCTACTTTAAACGGGTTCAATTAGCAACATTATACGTTATTACACATTTACACACAGACCGACACATAATGGAATATGAAAAAAAATTAAATAGAAATACACAACGTATGCATATAATAATTAATATCATAAATAACGATTTATTGTAATTATAAAATGTATACCTATTTGAGGTGTAAATCTCGGGCACCGCATTATAATCGTTTGTATTCCCAAATTTCGCAATAGATTTGCCGTAGTTGAGACTGTAGTTTATGATAATAATAATAATTTATTGTTTTTTTTACCACAGGGTGTTTTTATTTGTACAATCGTCCCACTTCATAATGGCTTTGGCCGTCTGTTTGGTCGCCTCGTCGCTGACACCCGGTGACCTGTGGAATGCGTCGAACGCCAATTATAATGAGGAAAATGTGAAACCACGGACTCTCGTATACTTTGTGTATCTGGCATCGTTCAGTATGCATCTAGGTTCTCAGTTTTGGATGACGATCGTTTCTGGTGAGTAAATAGTAGATCGCAAGTTGCAAGTATTGTAATATACACCTACAGATAGCAATACGAGTACTCTCTAAATATATATATATATGTACTAGCAGAGAAGTTATGTATTTATTAATATGTTTTTGTTTCCTCAGGACTTAGCTTGTACTTCAACCTGTCCAGACACGCTTTTGGTGACGTCCAAATAATCCTGTTTCCAAAATACTTTTCTATAAACAGTGTGCTGAGCGCTATCACACTGATACAGTTTGGAAAGATAAACGTAACCAGGAACTTGTGGGACCTACAGGTATACACGATTTATAAACATAATAATAAGAACAGTAATAATACTGAAAAAAACGTAAGAACCTGGTAAATTATAGTGGTATATCAGTATATCACAGCCCAATTGATGAAGGCGGATTAGGCAAATATTAATGGTGTCCATATTAATTATCACGAGTCATTAATCATAAATTTCGGTCCTGGGTCTTATATCATTTGCTAATTATTTTATAGAATACTGCCAAAAATATCAGAAAAAGCTATAAAGTTGTATTATGTAATTAGGATTTCAAATATAATATTTTAATTGTAAAGTACCTACTGTTTTTACAGTTCCGTGTTATTTTTTGTACATATGAATTGTGTCTGATTTGTTTTGTGTTTTTCATACATCTCATACTTAAAATTAAAATTGTAGTAAAAAGTTTTGTGACTAGAAATGAAAAATCCTTATATTATTTCCTCAACATTTTGTTTTATAATCTATTTGTATGCACCCACCGAACAGATATAATATATTTAGAAAAGTTTTTTTTCTCGGAATTAATAAATAAATGATTATTATAGCACATAGTATTACTATACGTCTTGCTTATTTTTTTGGGTCAGTATTGATGCAGATTGACTACGCCCGTTTTAACATGGCAACTTCTTTCGGTAACTGAAAACAATTATACATCTATACTGAACACTAATCATTAAATATAAATCATAATTCCCGTTATTATTACTTTGACAAAAGTATAAAATTATTCTTTGTACATAAAATAGTTAATAAACAATATTTGCAGATAAAATATATATATAATATAATAGTT